CTCTACCACTGAGCCACCTTCCCAGCCCTGGCACCCCTCTTGTTAAACAATTCACGAAGATGCTGTGTCCCTATAGTTGGAGGTCCTGTTCAGACCTCTACCAGCTTGTTCTACCTGTTGGAAGGCAGCACAGGAGCTGGGGCGGGCCTCTAGGCGTGGAACTGAGGCGATTGTAATAGTCAGGGGTGAGGGCAGCTGCCTTGAGCTAACCACTTTTCACTACTCTGTTCTCCTGGGCAGAGATGCCAGCCATTGAGAGCATGAGGCTGCACCTCCTGGAGGAGACAACTGTTCGGACAGAGTGGACCCGAGCTCCTGGCCCAGTGGATGCCTACGAAATTCAGTTCATCCCCACGGTGAGAGGAATGCCAAGCTGCAGGGGCTGAAGGAGCAGCACTGTGGGTGGCATGGGGGTTCACTTCATGCAGAAGTTCCTTTAATCACTGGTTGAGTCCAGATGGCTAGCTCGTGTGTGTGTGTGTGTGTGTGTGTGTGTGTGTGTGTGTGTGTGATACTGGAGCTTGAACTCAGGGACTGGGCACTTCCCTTAACTTTTTTCACTCAAGACTAATGCTCTACCATTTGAGCCACAGCTCCACTTTTAGCGTTTTGCTGATTCGTTGGTGATAAAACTCTCAGACTTTTCTTCCCTGGCTGGCTTTGAACCTTGGCCCTCCGATCTCAGCCTCTTGAGTAGCTAGGATTACAGGCGTGAGCCACTGGTGCTCAGCTAGGTGGCTGATTCTGAAAGCTGCTGTGAAGGCCTTGTTTTGCTCCACCCCTGGGCATGGAAGCCTCTTTAGCATCTCTAACAAGCATTGGTTCAGTGCAGCAGGAACACCTCAGAGAAGGGGAGCTCGATACTTCTAAGACTGCCCCGGTCACTGCTGGCCACCAATGTCAGTCAATTCTTTTTGTTGTCACTGAATCCAAATCTGCCCCCATTCATCCATCCCTTGGCTCTAGCTGAAGTGCCCTAGCAGGAATACTGTTTGCTCTCCTTGTGTCCCGTATTACAAACCTTCTGGTGTTTTGAGACACTAGTTATCACAATATTCTTCATATTCCCAGAGGAAAACCTTAGGTTCGTTACCCATTCCCACTTATGCTTTATTCCCTGAATTGTTTCACTTCCTGTGCCTCTTGCTTTTTGCATGCTCCCCCTCCAAAACTGGGAGCAGAGAAGACCCTACTGGCTAACTCTAGACTCATTGGCACTTTCAGAGTTGGCATGTATTAACCTGTAGTTACAAACTGACAGCAGTTTGTGTGTGTATGTGTATATGTGTATATGTGTGTGTGTATGTGTGTTGCCACTCCTGGGCTTGAACTCAGGGCCTGGGCACAGTCCTTGGGCTCCTTTTGCTCAAGGCTAGTACTCTACCACTTGAGCCACAGCACCATTTCTGGCTTTTTTTGTGTATGCTGGTCAAGCACTCTACCACTAAGCCACATTCCCAGTCCCTGATAGCAGTTTTGATCCTATTTATTTCATTAAATAATTTTTCATTATACAAGTCATATGAGCCCAGAGCAGAAAGTTTAGAAAATATAAATAAACAAGGATAAAGTGAAGCTAGACACTGGTGGCTCATACCTGTAATTCTAGCCACTCAGGAGGCTGACAGCTGAAGATTGTGGTTTAAAGTCAGCCTGGGCTTATGAAAGTCTTATCTCCAATGAATCAGCAAAATCTAGAGGTAGCAGTATGGCTCAAGTGGTAGAGTACCAGCCTTGATCAGAAAAAGCCAATTAAGAGTGTAAGATTCTGAGTTCACACCCCAGAACTGGCACAAAAGAATGAAGGAAAAGGGAAAGATAGAAGGAGGAAAAGATGGGAGGAAAGAAAGGACAGAAAGGAAAGAATGAAGGCAGCATTGGGAGTCTATATTTAGGCCTTTGCCTTTGGAGCTAATGGATGTTAGCGTGTTGGTTTGGGCTAGGCTGTCTAGGCTGTTGCAATAATTTTAATTCTGTGAGCTTGTTCTCTCACTTCACAGAACATTCTTGCTCTCTGCCTCCTCCCCCTCCCCGCCCCCAACTTGCTCTTAAAACATTTGGGAGCACAATAAGGACAAAGCCTGTGGCTTCTCATCACAGATCTTCCTTCATGTAGATTGAACCCCTAGGGAACAGCTGTTTCCCAGGTCCCCACCACCTGACCTTTCTCCACCCAGCTCATGTTTTCCTGTATCATCTCACAAACACCAAGGGAGGTGGGCCATGCCATACCAGGCTCAGCCATCAGCTCAGCCAGGACTCTGGACAAATAAATAAGTCCCTGGGCTTAAAGCCTCAGAAGCACTAGGACAGAAAGGGACAACTCAGGGGTGTTAGCTGTCATCTCTATGTCTCACTTTGACTCGGTTATCTCACTATACTTCAGCCTTTTCAGGTCAGACCCCCACCAAATCCTTTCCATCCTCACCCTCTGGCTAAAGCAGATGGAAAGCTCTACTTTGTAGCCCAAGCAAGATAGCTTGGGTTTACAGAATTTTCTTATACAAATAATTTAATCACGAGACAAGAATTTGGCAACTAGAGAGAAGAAAAACAACTCTTGGCTGCGCCACACTAAAACAAGCACTGTGAACATCTTAAAGTGTTTCTCCCACTCTCTTCAGTGTGTATAGTTTTTGCATAGCTCTAAACTGGAGAGGGTGGGACTTTAAAGAAGAATTTTCCTAAGCAACTGCAGGGAAAGAAGAATTAAAATAAACACTTTGAGATAAGAATGCAGCTTTCAGGGCAGCGTTGTCTCCTGCTCTTAAGAAATATGGATCCATTTTGGGTGTTGTCAAGGGATGGCAGCTTTTCCAGCCAAACTCTGCATGGGCTGGTGCCAAGCTGTGCTGTGTCAGGCTTGGCATCTGCTCTCAACTTATCACCTCTGCTCTAGAGATGGGACACTGCCATATTTCTGGTCTCAGAAGTCTGGCTGTGAAAGAAGCTTCTGCTAATTGAGTCCCAGGCACCCCTCTTGGACAGCTTCTCTACTCCATGTAGCTGGCCCCTAGACTTGAGCCTTTCGACTCAGCCTGGGCACTCCATTGCTGTTGGCATGGAGTATACTCAGTGGCTCACATCCTGTGCCCCTGGCATCTTCCTTGAAGCCAGTCTCTACCTCCTCCCCTTCTATGCAGAAGAGGAAAGATCCTCCTCTCCTTGCAGATGTGGCATAGTTAGTCTGCCTCTGTGGGGCTCAGAGTGCATTTAACATGTTTCTGCATCTCAACATCAGTATCACCTGGAAGTCTGAACTGAAATTTGTCAGGCCCCGCTTCCAGATCTCCTGAATCAGTTCTGCAATGGATCCTAGTTGTACCAAGCCCTCCAGTCGATTATGATGGTCTTATGCCTCCACACTCCTCCCTCTATGAGATATAAGAGAGTTTGTGGGGACCTGAGGGAGATGAGCCTCTGAACAGAAAGGAGGTTCAGGTATTCCTTGTCTAGGTATATCTGCAGCATGGAAGCAAACTGCCAAGTTTTGTGGTATGTGTGTGTGTGTGTGTGTGTGTGTGTGTGCGTGTGTGTGTGTTAGTCCTAAAGTATTTTTATGCCACCTTTTGATGCCAGTCCTGGAGCTTGAACTCTGGGCTTGAGCACGATCCCTTAATGTCTGGGCTCAAGAGTATTGCTCTACCACTACAGCATTTCTGTCTTTTTGGTAGTTCATTGGAGATAAGACTCTCACAGAATTTTCTGCCCAGAATGGATTTGAATTTCAATCCTTAGATCTCAGTCTCCTGAGTAGCTGAGATTACAGGTGTGAGCCATCGACACGTGCCAAGTGTTCTCTGGGACACTTGTAATCTCAGAAGAACTTTTGCTTATGTCTAGTCTGAAAAGGAGGTAAGAGTGAGGAAAACTTCTGGCAGCAGCCCAGGTACAGTCTTCCAAGGTAGATAAAAAGAATAAAGTTAAAAACTCACCAAGGGCAATCAGTGAGGGAGCCAAGCTTTACCAAGGAGCAGAACTAGATGCCAACTGCTAGAGAGCCTTCCTCAGGCCAACAAGATGGTGCTGGGAGACAAGAGTTAAGCTGGCAGTGGGTTTTCAGAAAACCGTTTGCAAATGGATCTAAAGGAGAGAAGAACCTGGGGTGAGAGAACCAGGCATCACCCCAAGGTGTGTGTGTGTGTGTGTGTGTGTGTGTGTGTGTGTGTGTGTATTGGGAGAATAAAAGGAGGAAGAGATAGTTAAGAAGCAGAAGCATTTGGGGAAGGATGAGGCTTTTCTAGGTACTGAGTGAGGGTCGCTCCAAGGCTTCTTAGTGAGGTTCCTAAAGCAGAGTTAAGTAGGAGAGGGATAGAGTGCTGTGTGCACGGGAAAACTCTTAAATCAGGAAAACAATGACACAGCTATAATTCATCCTCCGCCCAGCAATCTCCACGTGGCCTTCTCATCTGTTTTTCTACTTTGGTATTTACTATGTCGCTTTCTCCACTGTTCTCTTGGTTTAGGAGAGTACCTTCTGAAATTTCCAATCCCACTTGGCTGAATGGAGGTGTCCCCATCACGGCCAACATAGCTAAGCAGAACACAGCGTCCTTAGCAGCTCTCCTAACCGAACAACCCAGTAAAATGCAGGGCTATTTGAATGCTCACAGATGACCATCCTTCCCATTTCCCCAATAGCTGGCATCCTAGGAGACTCTCAGCCTGGAGTCCAGCATATTGCCTGTGGAGCTACCATATATAATAATGCTCCTTATGTAGAGAAGGGATGTTTTCTCATAGACATCAACAAGGCATAGAGATTTGGCGAGGTTCTACATTTAGCTACTGAGTTATGAGCTACCTGAGGACAGAAACTGTATCTTTTATGTGTCCAGCACAATGCCAAGTACAAAATCAATCAGGATCTCTGAGCAGGTAGGCCTTGCCTTATAGGGTCTATGGAGTTTGTTCAAGAGACAAGAAAAGTGCCTTAAAGGGAAATGTTATGATCTAAATTGTACAGCTATTGATGGGCATCTGTTGGGAAGGTCAGACTAAGCAGACACTGAAGGGAGAAAGGGAAGCTTATAAGGCCACCCTTGATCTACTTTATTTGTTCTGGAAGGAGCCACTTAGGAGGCTTCCTCATACGTAGGCGTGGAAAGCCAGAGGGAGAGTCCTGGGTTCTGTCAGGTGGAATTTTGGCAGATGAGTGGAGAAAACTTCTAAGAAGGAAACTGGGGTTACACTGTCTAAACATAAGTCTCTGTTACATTCTTGGTGTGGGTGACCTTAGCATCAGAGTCTCAGTTTCCTTCTCTAAAAAATGGAACTAATAGACCCTATCTTATAGTGTTGTGAGAATTAAGTGAGTGAGGCATGTAAATTGCCTAGAACAACACTGTTCCTTCCATGCCCCTGAGTTCCACAGAGTCTCATGTCGATACTGTTTGGAATTGTTAACAGGAGATTGACCTCCAGGGACAAAGGTTTTGATCAGCCAGGTGCCAGTGGCTCACACCTGTAATCCTAGCTACTCAGGAGGCTGAGATCTGAGGATTGTGGTTCAAAGCCAGCCTGGGCAGGAAAGTAGTCCATGAAACTCTTACCTCCAATTAACCACCAGAAAACTGGAAGTGGCACTGTGGCTCAAGTGGTAGAACACTGGCCTTGCTGAAGAGCTGAGGGATAGTGCCTAGGCCAAGTTCAAGCCCCATGACCAAAAAAATAGAAAAAAAGAAAAGAGGCTGAGATCTGGGGATCATGGTTCAAAGCTATCCTGGGCAGGCAAGTCTGTGAGACTCTTTTCTCCAATTAACCAGCAAAGAGCTGTGGCTCAGGTGGTAGAGTACCAGCCTTGAGCCAAAAAGCTTAGGGACAGTGCCCAGGCCCAGAGTTCAAGCCCTAGTACTAGCACAAACAAACAAAAAAAAAGGGGGGGGGGAGAGATCCTGGATCCTGCCAGTCCTGACCTCCCTGGTACTCTCTCACAGACAGAGGGGGTGAGCCCCCCATTCACAGCACGAGTGCCCAGCTCTGCATCAGCCTATGACCAGAGAGGACTGGCCCCTGGTCAGGATTACCAAGTCACTGTTCGTGCCCTTCGAGGGACCAGCTGGGGGCCTCCTACTTCTAAGACCATCACCACCAGTGAGAGCTGGGACTGTGGGGGTGTGGCCTTGGGTGGAGACCTGGTTTTGATAGGGGCAGCTGGGAGTTGACTGAAATAAGGCAAAAGGGAGAGCTTTCCTGGGGCTGGGCTCCTGGTAAAGCGAATGGCTCAGGAACCTGGTTCTCACCTGAGCCTTCCTCTCTCTAACCTGCCTAGTGATCGATGGTCCCCAGGACCTCCGGGTGGTGGCTGTAACACCAACCACACTGGAGCTCAGCTGGCTGCGACCTCAGGCTGAAGTGGACCGATTTGTGGTGTCCTATGTCAGTGCCGGCAACCAGAGGGTGCGGCTGGAAGTTCCCCCTGAGGCAGATGGGACCCTGCTGACTGACCTGATGCCAGGAGTGGAATATGTGGTGACTGTCACCGCAGAGAGGGGCCGGGCAGTCAGCTACCCAGCATCCGTCAGGGCCAACACAGGTATGACTATCCAAGGGTTAGGGAAGGAACCTGGTTTCCAAGGGTTTCCTGATTTCCTCTGCTTGGGAGCCCAGGTCTAAGGTTCACAGGCTCCTCTGAACAAGTCTGGCAGGGTGTGACCATCCCAAAGTACCTGCTGGGGGGCTCTGAAGAAACAGGAGCCTTCAGGCACTTGGAAGGCTGCAGGTTAGACTATGGAGGAAACTGCACCAGGGTGGGAAGCAGTAAATAAGGAGATAACTCTCTGATCCACGGGGTAAAAGACAGTTCCTATCCTGACTCAGGGACAGAACTTTGGATGGTGGATCTCCTGAGAACTGCAATCAGGTAGATGAACAATCAATGGATCTAACATTCTGTTAATTTTAGGATTGGGGTTGCCAGGAATTGAGTCTCACAGCTGCTATTTTTCTACTAACTCTCAAGGTTTCTTAGCAGACACCCGGATCTTTCTTTTCCCGGTGACAGGGGACGCCCACATCCTCTTTCCCCAACAGCTCTTCTCTCCATCAGATACAGCCTCCCCCACCCCCCGCCCCGCCCCAACCCCGGTGCTGGCTTCTCTTCTTCCTAGGGCACCAACAGTGGTGGGCTTGGAGGGGAGGGGGCGGGGAGGGGGTCCAGGACACTGACGTGTGGCTCTGGTTCTCTTTCCAGGTGGGGCTGGGGCACAGGGAGAAGCCTCTGGATTTTGGAGGGGGACATAGCGGGTTAGGAGGCGGCTTGCAGGGCGTGGGGGGGAGCTGCCACTGACCCGCTCTCTCCTCCCTCCTCTCGCCTCTCCCCTCGGCAGCGCCAGGCCACTACAGTTACCCGGAGGTGCGCCCCCCGGCCCTGCCCCCCAAGCCCCGGCCCCGGCCCGCGCGGCCCCCTCGGCCTTTGGGGTACGCAGAGGAGGGGGAGGAGGAGGAGCCGCGTCCCGGGTGGAGCCCGCCCCAGTCCCCCGGACGGCCCCGGGGCAACCTGACGGCGGAGCTGAGCCGCTTCCGCGGCTCGGTGCAGGACCTGGAGCGCCACCTGCGGGCTCGCGGCTACCCGCTGCGGGCCAACCAGACCTACGCGG